TCATTTGTAGGAAAATTGACGCACCTCGAGCCCATAATATTGAGTGAAATAAACCAGACACACACACTTAAATATCGCACGGGGCCTTTTACGTGAGAAACCCGACAGGTACTCAGCGCAGCAGAGAGACAGGCGGAAGGAAGAAGGGAGAGGGGCTTTAGAATGTGGGGAAGGATGAGGAATTCTTTTCTCTTGACTAGACAAAGGGAGGCTGAGGCTTTCATGGCCTTTTACCGGGGAGGGGTTTGAGGGGCATGTTTAGATGTACCTGAGGAGCTGACTCGGGGGGCTTCCCTGAGGCAGCGGGAAGGGTAGAAGCAAATTATGTCTTGGGCCGAGCTAGAGAAGGGGGAGGTGGTCTTGGGAAGATGGGCTTTGTTTTAAGGGCATCGGCCATACTAGATGACCACCACAATGATTTTAGCAATTCGTATGAGGGCCCGAACCTATCAAAACCCAAAAGAAGCAAAGTGAAAGGTAGCTAGGAGGAAGTGGGAGATAGGCCTTTCTCAAATGGGAAAGAGATCCAGAGATCCCCGGAGGGAGGGTGGGAAGAGAAGGGATGGAAAAGAATTCAGATGCGCCACGACTGTGCACCAGCTCCAGAAAAGGAAAGTAGACATTATGAGCCATGTAGGTGCTGATAAAACCAAGCGAATGGGACCCTAATCACATGGCCAGGCGGCGGCCTGGAGCCCCTTCACTGGTCCCGGGTGGGAAACACGGCAGGGCGAACTCCAAAACACCTGAAACTTCTCTGCAGCCTTAAGCTTCTTGTCCACTCTAACTCTTGACTTTAGAAGTGGGGACAAGGCCCTGGGTCCAACAGGAGTAGCCCACTTGAAATGGGGGCGGCCTCGCTGCTGGGCCCACAACTGCGCACCAGGCTGCAACCGCCCATCTGAGGGCACTGCTGAGTCACTCTTTCATCCTCTGCCAAAATCATTCGCAGAAAAGCCAAAACTTTTTTTCTGCTGTATGAAAAAGAAACAAATGGGACATTTATCAAATTGTCTATTCTATTTTCTGAACATAGATTCACATTCAACTTCTGAATCCAAAGTTGTGAACTTATATTCCTAGCAGGGAAAAGGCTGTTTTTTGTTTTAGTTTTTTTTTTTTTTTTTTTTTTAGAGGGACTCTCTAGTCCCTCTCTTAACCAGAGCACCTCATAAGGCTTTTTGGTTGTTTTTCTCCCAGTGAATTCAACAGAAAATAAAACAAGACCAGTATTGTGGAGCTTTCCAGAGAACACCAGTCATCTGACTCAGGCTGCCCAAAGGTCATGAACACCCTCAGGCCAGCCTCTTACAGCACCTCTGGGGCAGATGGGGCTCCAGCGGGACCTAGGGGCGGAGTTCAAGTTTGCCAGTTATTTATGGTCTAATCCTCTGAGGACCACTTAATTTCTTAAAAAACGATGACAGAAATCTCCTTTTCTATACATGATTTTAGCCAAAAGGTAAAGAATCAATCACCACTTCTTCTATGCCGTTTTATTACTGTGGTGAAGCCTGACTAGACATTACGCGGAAACACATCCGTGTGGACACGCGTATCTATTCCGAGCCAGGGATGAGTAGCTTCCCGAAGCCCTGTGACAAACACAAGAAACTACCCGAACACTGTGCTTCACTTGAAAGTAGCATAAGTTGAGTACTTAGTTGCCCAAAGCACCGTTGTTTTCAGAAGTTCCTCTATCTGCAGGGCCATCTGTCCCCTCTATGCCTACAGTTTAAGGTCAGATTTACCAGAAAAGGCTCGGGAAGCAGCCAAATTCCAAGCGATCTGGCCCAGCAAGCGCTGGACTGAATTTACTCGGAGACCTGGAGCTCTCAAGCTAAACTTCTCCGGGCAATTTCCGTAATTATATTGGCAACACACATTTTTCCACTCCAATAATAAAACCACAACGATCCTTATGTTCACAGGCAAATCTTTAATCATATTGTAGAAGAAGCCAGTATGCCAGTAGAAACTCAGAAGTTCCAAACAGGGCCAGGGCTCCCTGGCTCTCGGGGGACAGCAGTGTGCGGGCCGTCCGCTCCACACCGCCGTGACGAGAGCGCCTTGCCAGTGAGCTTCCTGCGCCCAAGCACCTTTGCCTCAGAAGCCAGAGCTTGGTTAGCAGGGACCTCCCCGCGCCCGTCGACACACTGAGCCCTCCTGACCATGACTGACCGCAGCTCCCTGCACACCCTGGACACCCTTGTGTAATCCACACCAGCTGAGGACACTGGCTGTGGCGGTGGCCTCAGCCTTGGCGAGAACTTCGACTCGGCTGGTCCCTTGGGGCTGGGCTTCCATGACACTTCCTAGGGGTTTTTGCTGTGGAACTAATTCAGTATAAGTTTGGATAGGGAAAGCAGAATTACAACAACTAAAATAATTTCTGTTCCTCCTGATTACAGCAAAACAGACTGAACACTAAGTACAGTTTATAAATTCTAAGTCTATGATCACAGACGGGTGCCACAAGCCATGGATGCCAAGGAACCATAAATTCAGTTAAATGTCATAGTCAAATACACATCAAATTTAATGACACGTATTTAACGATATGCATAATCGCAGTATTAGCCCAACTAGCTGGGAGGAGGGGCTGGAGACCGATTTTACTAACGTTGCACATTGGCTGCCTCTGATAACTATCCAGCTGTAATCTTACTCCAGCTCCCCAAGAACAAAGAAATGCTCTTCCACTCTTCCTCTTCCAGGGACAGGCCCAGGAATGGGCCGGGGGTGTGGAAGAGAGGAGGGCCTCTGCACAGCGCTTGCTCTGAGCTGCCAGGAGGGACCCTGAAGGCCGCACCTCAGCACCTGGCGAAGCATCGGGGCAAACTGTTAAAATTACAACCTCTGTGAAGAAGGAGCGTTTGTATTGTGAGATTAGCAAGATCTGGCATGGCAGTGGGAAAGTCTTGGAAATTTACCCCGAGTGCACATCGGTTAAATGGTTTGCTTTCCAAAACCTAGTGCCTAAAGAGACAGGAACTTTATGTGCTTTTGCTTTCCTACAGAAGAAGGAAACACAAATTAGAACCCCTCCCGACCCCTATTGCTTCATTTACCAGTTGAATCAAGGACAGGCTCTTCTCTCTCTCTCTCTCTCTCGCTCTCTCTCTCTCTCTCTCTCTCTCTTTCTCTCTCTCTCTCTCTCTCTCTCTATCTAGAACCTTCATCTGTTCAGAGCTGGGTAAGCCAGCAGCAGGGATAAGAGATCCACAGAGGTCTGGCCTGGTGAGTCCAGCCCTACCCAGGACTATTTTCCTGATGGTTTTGTTTTGATTGGGAGTGGGTGGGTGTACGAATGTTTACAGCCTGCTGAGGAACTTTGCTGAGTGCCAGCCACACCCAAGAGGAATTTTAGGCAGCATTCCAAAATGGGAATGCACGCAACTTTCCACTCAACTATAATCACTCAAGCATATGAGAAGAAAATTTCCATCCTATCCATGTTATAAATGACCAAGGAAGGTTCTTTCTTAAAGGTAAACACAGGTGACACTTCTACTCATTTTTATTGATAACCTGGTCCTGTTCAGATGACAGTCCAGAAAAGATGAAGTAGTACTTCCCCCTGCCTGCTCTGGAATATTACATCATTTCCATGAATAACCATCTCTCTGTAATCCAAGGGCATGTTGATCTAATCAAGGGACCAAGCCAGATTAGGACCTAGGAGGAAAGCTTTTGTCAGATAAGAGAAAGAAGGGCCCCAAAAATGACTTTCTTGAAAAATTAAAGTAATGTGTACAATATAAAATATTACTCATATAGAGAGGAGGTATTACAGATAATTAGTCTCTGAACTGGTATACTATGAGATTAAAGGTAACTCATTAGAGTTCTACAAAACAGCATATATTAAGAGTAAAATAACAACTTTATAAGAAAAGTTCATACATCCAATTTTACCATATGGTTTTCATAGAGGAAACCAATTAAGGAGAACTGTACTGCAAAGTCGATTCTGGAAGGCAGGCTCCCGATGGGTAATTACAGTAGTAAGCCTTCACTTCGCACTGATGACCACACACACACACACACACACACACATACACACACATGCACGCACACACGCACACACACATATGCACACACACGCTTTGGGAGGTGCCTTGCTTATAGAAAGCCTAGATATAAAGCTGTATTTGCCAATAGGTCCATATCAATTTCTACGGCAAAGCCAATGTCAGGAAGCTGAAGGGATAGCTCTCCGTACTGTAGCCAGCTCCTACCAGGTGTTTGCTCTGTATTTAAAAAGCACTGGGTGGCAGTGAGGGCAGAGTGGTGTACAGCACACTGTTCTGGTGTCAGAATTCATGAACTCTTGCGTCCTGGTTCTGTTTCTTGCACTGCTCAGAGCTATGACTTCAGGCAACCCAGTTAATGCCTCCATGTCTTAGTTTGCTCTTCTACAAGATGAGGGGCTGCTTCTTGGCCCCTTGGGATTCAACATCAAGAAGAATGTCACAGGAGGCCATAGTGTCACTGGCTTTATATTTCCACTTCTTCCCATGGAGCTAAGTGCTTCCAAAAAATCTGTCTGTAAGTGCCCTCACACCCCTCACTCTGCCTGGCGTCTCTGCATGTTGTGACTGGCTCAAGGAGCCCTCGCCCAGAGGTGACCTTGTGCGCCCCTCGAGGGCAGATGGCAGAGGCACCCCCTTCCCGCCTCCCCTCTCCCCCTCAGCAGACATCTTGGACCTGAGCTTATATGATACATCCTAATTACCTTGAAGATGTACACTCTCACTACACACAGATCTAAGGTTCCCATCCTGGACTAACACCTAAGAGTCAGTTCTCAATGAGCTGCAGAGTAGAAAAGATGGAAGTAGAACAAAGAGGGTTATCATAAAATACAGCCTGCTTTCCACTCCCCCGAGGATATCCCTGGGGCGACTTCTAGCGGTGACTTAATTAGGCAGTGAGGGCCCTCAGTGAAAGTTTGAGGCCAGTACTGCATTAGCAAAATGCTCGTGGAGCCAACTCACCAACTCCAGACACTGCCGGTGGCCGTAGGCAGCCGCGTAATGGATGCTGTTGTAGCCCTCCTTGTCCCGGATGGACGGGTTTGCATCGTTCTGAAGCAGGAATTCCAGACATCTGTAGGTGTGAAGAGATGTTATTTTAGAAACTATCTGGACAAAATGAGATGGTTAATGTTAACATGCCCTCTTCTGAATGCTCCACAAAACACTTCAAGTTTATTTCTTTAAAAATCCTGCTGCGATGAAGTATGGTACATTTGTGAGGGTGTGTGTGTGTGTGTGTGTGTGTGTGTGTGTATGTGTGTGCTGTAGCTGTCTTTATTTTAGTTTGGAATAGCTATTCTAGATTAAGGAAAAGCTTTGCAGCGAAAGAGTAAAGTTTTTTTTTTCCTCATCTTAAGGTATAGAACATGCCTAGCATCAAGATTACTGAATAATAACCTTCATATCTCCATGTTGAAAAGGAAACATCTTGCTGGGTGTGGCGGCACGTGCTTGCAATCCCAGCCCTTGGGGGGCTGAGCAGAAGGGCCAGTGCAAATTTGAGGCTAGCCTGAACTGCACTGCTAGACTCTAGTGTGTACAAGGCCCCAAGTCTGTTCCCCAGTATAAGAAAATAAACTGTGGCCAGTCATGGCAAGTGGGCGAGCCCAACAGAAAGAGCATCCTACACATCGCTACTACAGACTGAGACCCAAAAGTTGCCAAATGCAAACTTTAAATCCAGCAGGAAAAAGCGAGAGCTTAAGGACAGTCAGATACTGAACAGCAGTGGGGAGCACAGACGAATGCTGAAGAGCGAGGCGGGCACACAGTGTGGGGGGAGGAGCAGGCGAGGGCAGCCCCAGGCCCACCCCGCAGCCCTGACCCCTGACCCGAAGAGGTGGCCAGGGCAGGGCTCCCAAGCCCACTTTACTTTGGTGACAGAGATAAACATCTGCACAGCGCCATGCTGAGGCCCTAAGATTCTGAATGTAACCCTACACCTAAGCCCCTTCCACGGGTAGATTTATGGGGCAGTCATAAAAGCCTCAGTGGCATTTACCTACCTTTTTGTATAAGGGAAAGGGAATAAATAAATTCCTAAACTGGTCCTTTAATTGTAAAAAAACTGATGAAAAGAAATATTTTTAAAAAATCAAATACCTACTCATTGATTGTGTTTGCCCACAAATGCTCCATAATAAATCAAGCTTTAATTAAAGTCCTGCTACCATGCTGGTTTGTTTGTTTGTTTGTTTGGCATTGTCCCTTAGAAGGAAGTCCTTTTTCATTTCAGTCATTAGATGTCTTTGGGTGGGATCCCAGGTGTGACGCATCGCGAGCGACTTTGGCTCTTTGAACGCAAGGGCAGGAAGAGCCTGCTAGTGCCTGCGCCCGCCCCAGCCTCTGAGCGGATGGGAAAGTGAGCTCATGAATTCAGCGAGCTCTGGAAAATACCTGGACTTGCTCCCGAAGATTACTGAACCCAGAAAGCAGCTCCACGACACAATTAGCAACTATACAGTATGAGTGCAGTAACAACACTCTCCACATAGCTTCTAAAGAAAAAGTGAATTCCACGTTCTATCTGGCAGTCTTGTCTTTTCTCCTCCAGGGTGCTGACTGCTAAGTTTGTCAGACCGGGAGGACCAGGCGGAAGCCCCTAGGCGGGGACCTGGTCGGGAAGCAGCCCCCTCCTCTTGAAAGAGCTCTGAGCACCTCCGCTGCCTCCTCCCTCCACCCTGGTGTGGTCACTGGGCTCCTCAGGCAAATTCACCTCACAGTGCCCCAGCAGAGGCAGACTTTGCTTTTACCATGATATTATTATTTTAAGATCGGGAGCATTAAAGCAAAATCTCCGACACTCTGATGTCCTTGTAGCCACGTCTCGGGTCGCTGTCACCTGCAGCAGGACCACAGGCTCTAACTGCCCCGGCCATGGGGTGGGCAAAGGCCTGCGAGGGGAGGTAGACCTGAGGGTGGGCACGGCTCCCCTGGCACCCGGGGCCACGGGCCTGGGTGAGGGTGGGTGGCGCTCAGGAGCAGAGGGGCAGGGACAGTGTGGCTGCGTGCCGGGTGCAGGGGGCCCAAGAGAGGGAGGAGGTGGGGGAGGCACAGCTGTGCGCGTGGAACCAAAGCCACAAGCCCGTCACTCAGAGAGTCTGCAGAGAGGTGTCCGAGGTCGGAGAAGCGGAGCCCAGACGGGCTGAATTCATCCGCCAGGAACAGGGTCCGTGGCAGTCAGAAATGATACCTAAGATCGAAAACGGCTGACCAGTCACCATCATTGTCCACAGAAAGAGCACAATTTTAGAAAAAGTGCCGTGTGACAACAGCACCGCTGCAGGGGGGGGGGGGGGGGGGGGAACGACAGCTTCTCCACTAAAGGCGAGCCCACAGTTCCCTCTGGGCCCCTCCCCCAGGAAGCGGCCACACGCGGGGCAGCGCGGGGACACGCCCTGGTGTTCTCCGAGGACACTTACAGAGCAGCTTCCTTCTCCTTCAGCTCCCTGGCTCTTGCAAGTTCTTCTGAATTTTCATGGGCACTTCCCAGCATCGCCTTACTTCTCAGCATGAAGGGAGAAGCAAAAACATAAGTCACAATTAATTTTTAAGACTGCAACCCATTATAGAATAATGAAGCTCGTGGTCTTCACACAGTTGTGTCTCAGTGATTTTTACCCTAAAGAGCCGGCACCACTGATGTCCACGGAGGGCGGACATGGCTCTAGAGCCATGTGTTCTCACCCGTGGAGTACAACTACGAGGGCTTCTTAAGACTTCCACCTGGATGTCTGTGACCAAGAAGACTGTGTCCCACCCTGCTACGAGCACCCCAAAGCACCCCGAGGAAAAGGAGACGCCTTGGCTCAATCCTGAGTCCCGCTGCACTCCTTGCTGCCCCCTTGAAGTTCAGCGTCCCACCCACTGAGAGTGGGGTCCCCTCACCCTCCGCTTTCCAGAACAACTCGCCCCCAGGATTCCTTTCCTGCTCTCCACAGATGGCGGTCACTCACTCCCCATCTCCTTCACCACCACCTTTTCTGGGGGAGTAAACTCACAGCCCAGTATGTATAGCAAGTGCTCAATAAATGTTGGTTGAATTAATATCCTGAACTAATTCCCACTGAATTAATGGGCTGAATTAACAACCCATTATAGAATAATGAAATCAATTTAATGGGTTATAGTCTATGATTTTTTTAATGAAATGAAATTGAAAATGTTGGAACACACTAGATGAAGCAAATGCAAATATGGCTTTATGAAATTCTTGTTCCTGGCCTGCACATGCAGGTGCGTGTGTGCCAGGTCATGGTGCAAGATGAATTTTTTACTATGGATCACCATCTAAAATGTGTGAAGGGCTGAGGGCGTAGCTCCCATGGTAGGGGGTCATACTTAGCATTAGAAACAAAATAACACTCAAAAGTGTTGGAAAATCATTGCTCCATAGGCTCGGGAAAGCAGGCAATTCAACAGTTCTCCAAACAGGGGTGTCAGAGACTATTTCCTATAGAGAGGGCCTCCCTTAAGTCTCTGAGAACAAGAACTCAAATCACGGCCCCCCTCCCCTTGTCTCTTCCCTTCCTCCCCCTCGCCCTGCTCCTCCCTTCAACCGGCTCTCTGATTTCTGTTTCCATTCCTGGCTGCCTGGAATTGAAAAACGCCACTGAAAACGTTCAGGTTCAAGTTGGAAGCAGAGCCCTTCTCTCCTCTATCCTGAGGCTGGGGCTGTGAACAGGGGGACGTTCTTGATGGCAGATGCACAGATTGGCAGCTGTAAGTGTTATGGCAAGTGAAGATGTAAGTGCTGCTGCCAAAAGCTCTGGTGCACTGGGCGAGGTGGCACATCCTGTAATCCCGGCACTCAGGAGGCTGAGGCAGGAGGATCGCTGCGAGTTGAAGGCCAGCCTGAGCTACAAAGTAAGCTCAAGGCCAGCCTAAATTACACAGAGAGACCCTGTAAAAGAAACTCTGGTGTGTGTCTATTAAATCCCAAAAGATTTTGAGTGAACTGAAGATCTGGCCTTGACAGCTCCATCTGGCATCTGACCTAAAGAACACAGAAGAGAAAGAGCTGTGCCGTGCCAAGCAAAACCCAACGTGAACCTAACCCCCGGGCTCTGAAGGACAGTGTGCACAGTGCCCCTTCCCAGCCCACTCTCCCCCCAGAGCAAACAGGGCCATCAAGGATGCACTTACTTTCTGTCCACGTCTGAGGCCGCGGCATAGTGCAGAGCCGTCCGGCCCCAGTCGTCCGTTTCGTTGACGTTGGCGCCTGTGGTCACTAATGTCTCAATACAGTGGAAATGACAGTTTGCGGCTGCATAGTGCAGAGGAGTTCTGGAAAACAAACAGGCATTCATCACTCACTCAGCCTAGCAAACAGCATGGCGATGCGCTCATGGATCACGGCCTACGTGGGTGTGGAAAGCTCGGGGTGTCCCTCGCATGAGGCCAAGAGATGAGCCTGCTTTTGACTACATCAGTGGAAACTGAGGGAGCAGAGACTGAGGCCTTCGAGCAAGTCAGGCACAGTGGAGCTAATCTTTCTTTCCACTGCTGGTGCCTGTCCTGGTTCGTGTCTATGTCACTGCCTTTTAGGACCACTGAAAGGTCATCCCCATGAAGATTCTCCAAGACTACCCTCTGTCCTGACCAAGCTTCCGCCCAATTCTCAGTTAGTACAGATGGGGAACACAGTCTTCTAAGACACGGTCCCCACATGTCGCAGTCACGTCCAGAAGCCTTCAGGCCCCCATCAACAAAGGCTCCACTCTTCAGCCTGGAGGTGAAGCCCTTCCAAGCTGGTTCCAGCTCCTCTCACAGTAGCCCTCTCTGCTACATGGACTCCTCAGGATATCCTGAACCAATGTCCTGAGGCTTGCTGGTTGCTCCACCCACCCTCGTGCGCAACCTTCCACTCACCGGCCCACTCACAGCCAGGTGTGGTGGTGCACACCTGCAAAGCCAGCACTCTGAGTGGCTGAAGCAGGTGGATCAAAAGTTCAAGCCCAGCCTGGGCAACTTAGTGACTGAGAGAGAGTGTCTCAAAATCAAACTAAAAAAGGGCTGGGGATCAATGTAGCTCAATACGAAGGCATTGGGTTTAATCCCCAGTGTCACCAACAACAAGCACAAGAAAAAATGCTCCTCATCCTTCATGATCCAGAAGTTAGTTGTCTTTGTCTGAGATCACTCAACTGCTGTCGAATCGCTTCTGAGCTCTCACTCTGCACCGCCTTGATCCACAATAGCAGTGCACTGCCTGCCCCTCGCCGCCGAATGCTCCCTGAGGGCAGACCTGCAGGTTGATGGCAAGAACTGGGCACAAAATCAGAAGCCCAGGGCTCCAGGCTGGGCAGACCTGAGAGCTGGGCCAAGCCACCTCCTCGCTGTGGGCCTCAGCCTTCTTGTCCTTACTGTCACACAGACCTGTGAGCAGATGCTCCCTACACTTTCCAGCCTCTAATTCTGTGTGCATGTGAGTCATGACATCACTTTGCACTCGAGGGCTCATCTGTTACAGAATGTAACAGCCCGCCCTGCATCCCAGAAGATCCGTGAGAAGCACCCAGCAGGGCGAGGCTGCAGAAACAGGAAGGGATTTGCTCGGTCTTTCTTACTTTGAGCTCTCCCTTATTGAACAGTTTTTCTGGTGTGACTAACCAGCTTCCAGGGCACAAAAAGCAGAAGACAAGAGAGAGAGTGACTGAAGCTCAAGCATTGTTTACCAAGCTTCAAGTACAAATGCTGCAGATTTTGCAGTCTGTTCATTTGTGGACTTGTTTACTACTTGGTTTTCTCTTTTTCAGTCCCAAACAAGGACAATCTAAGTATTCCATGTCCCGGATTACCTGTGTTTTCATGTTGGCCTGAAAATCAACAGGCATCAGGCATATGACAGCCTAAAGACAGAGGAATCACCAGTCCTTGCCCTCAGGACACTCAGAGTCAGGGTCGATGAGCACTGAGTGACGTGACTTCCAGGGGTGGAGTGCGTGGATGCCAGGAGAGAAGGGACATCCTTGCCACATGGGCAGGGACTGCCACTGACATGACTCAGGCAGGGTGAGTAGGAGCCATTTGGGCAGGTAGGTGAGGAAGAGATGTGGAGCAATCCCGAAGGGTCAGAGTGCCCGTGGCAGGGGATGCCAGGGTAGAGTCCTGTGGGGCTTGGCGATGATTTCCGAGAAACATGGTGGTAGGTGACCTTGTCAATGTGTGAACACAAATCTAGGTAGTACAGCCTACTATGCACTGGGCTGCCTGGGCGCCACTATGTATGTGGCTAGTGTTGACTGAGATGTCACTATGTGGGCATGTGTGACATGTCCAGGTACTAGCTAGCACCATGGCACAGCTATACAAAGGACCATAAAGGTACACAGTTACATGGCTCATGTGTGGGTTGTGTGTTTAATGTTGTAAACATGTCTAAACTTTTATCCTGAGATAAAATGTCTGGCACATATAACAAAATCACCTAGTTGTATGACCACATCCTGGAGTGAAAGGGCTGAAGTATTCTGTTCTGCTACAAATGAAGCTCCTACATTACATCCGTGAGAATTACAAAAGTGAAGGGGGTGAGACAAGCAGTACCTCTGGCAGAAGCTGAAGAGGAAATGCTTCCCCTGTAGCTGTGCCGGCTTGAGGACGTGTCCCCACGGGAGGGGATCCCCGCCAGGGGGACCCAAGACCACTTCCGCGTCACTCCGCCCTCGGTGGGCCCCGCCCCACCCCTGCGATCGGGGCCCTTGAGCCACAGCACCCTGATCACCTACCTCCCGCACTTGTCCTTCTTATGGAAATCTGCTCCACTGCTTTGCAAGAGTTTTATACATTCCACATTACTGCAAAGAGAGAAAACGGCATGAAGACGACAGCGAGGGACGCATCCTGGGGCATCTTAACAAGGGTGTGCTTCAGCGGAGCACAGGCCAGGGAGAGACCACGGCACCGGTTTAACATTCTGCTAACCAGAAACAACCTGAACATGGAGTAAGCGATGCCACATGGTAAGAATCTAAAGTTCTGCCTCAAAGCGACTGAGTTAACAGAGTAAAGAGCTAGGAGGAACCGTGCCAATTCCGTGACTAAGGAATCGAATGATTATTGCATGACTGAACCCTCCAAGGATGGTCTCATCACTTTTTCTAAAATCAGTTTTTCAAAATTACACAAAATTTATGAAATAATCCTTCAACCTATAGTAACTAACTTCAGGTTGGATGCAAATAATGAGACAGAGAACCCACACAGTTCCTTCTCTCACGGAAGAAGAAATTCCCCATGATCACCATTTTCAACCCAAGATTCCTTAGTGGAAAATAAAACAGTGCCTTTCCCTGCTTTTGTAATCCAGGTAGAGAAATGTGCAGAACCAAGGCTGAAAATGATGTCAGAGATTGGTGACCTTCCAAAGCTCCTGTGCTTTGCATGGAAGCAACAGATCCTGTGTAGTGGAGAGAGGAGGACCTGTGGCACGCACGCTCCCCTGGAAGGGCACGTTGCTCAGTATTACTTCTAATAGGAATTGCAGACATGAATTCGGAACGGCAAGTTGCAGGTTGCTGGACAGATCTGACATTTTTTACAATGCAGACATCCAGGCAATCATCCATCATTGTTCTGGACTTGGGATGCTAAGTGGCCTGGGATGTATTGTTTGATTATAATTTAAATGAGAAAAAATGATCTCATTACTGATAAGCCTGAAAGGGCTCTCCCACTCCACACGTACCCTTGAGAGCCACCTTCCTCAGAGCACTAGCTCCTCAGTCATAAAGTAGGAGGGCTTTTAAGAAGTACGTGTCTGTGCGGAGCGCCAGTTGGCACGAAGCACCTGTCTCTCTCGTTGCCAACGGCTGAGGATCAAAGGTGGGGGGCAGCTGAGAGGTATGGTTCCTGAAGCACAGTCATTTTGGGGCGAGAGGGGGAAGGGGCCTCAATAAAAGATACAAAAATTACGACTATAAGACCGGGACCCCTGTGCGCAGCTCTGTGCTTCAGCCAGCGCCTCTCTGTCAAGTGCGTCACGCTGAGACAAGGCGCAGACCACAACCAAGGCCCTGCTGTCAGTAAGCGGAGGTTAAGAGCCAACCTCCTAGCCACACAGGCTCACCCAGGAGATGAGGTTTGCTCCGCGCATGGTCATAGAGCAAGAAATTACTGATCAGAGCTGTAATCTGACCAGTGAGAGAAAAAGGACAATGGCTGATGAAAAATAAGGAAAAGTCCTATTTGCTGTAGGAGATGGGATAACATTACTTGAGTCATCTGGTAATATGCAGTAGAAATGATTCTTAGCCAGTTTTCTAAGAAAACTGCCTTTGGGTCACAGACTGCCATAGTCAGCCAAGAGGTGTGTGCCACTAAGTCATGAACTCCCAGGGCAGCCCGGTACTCACCCTCCTGCGGCAGCGGCGTGCAGGCACGTTCTTCCAAATTTATCTGGGGTGTCTATTTCAAAGCCTGCAGACAGCACGCGCTCATTACTAAACAAGGACACTATGCTATACTTTTGTCCTAGTTAAACCACAAGAAACATTGCAGAGACAGAAAAATCAGTTAGTAGGAAAACCAGAAGGCAAGCAATTGTAGTCAGAAAGAGGTTGTCATGGAAACGAATGATGACTGCTCAAGCTTGGCGATTCCATAGGAAGCACCACGAAGTCAAGGGGGATTTATTCTCACACTCAGCCCTGGTGAACCACAGCCCCGTCTTTCAATCCCAGGATAGAAATTTATGAGACCAATTTGAGTTAAGTAGGGCAATAGACAGGCAGACAGAACACATGGAGAAAACACGGACGCCAGAGGAGAAACCCTGATGTGCAGGGGTAGATATTTTCTTAAGCACATTCCAACCTTTCTGTTGGTCTAAAATCTGGGAAACAGGCTTTCATGGAGGGATTATTTTTAAACGTGCCAAAAACAGTGAAAACTGATAAAGTACTTAAGGGGAAAATCTGCCTCTGGGGCACTGATGAATTAATTCAGAAACAATCTTCGCCTTGCAGACCCTGCCACTCCTGAAAGCCCAGAGTTTCTTACTATCAGGAGGGCGGTAGAAGCGCGATAAGAAAGACTAGGAAAGCTCCAAAGCATGAAAATTTATTGGTTCCAAAGAACCTCACATTAAAAAAAAACAAAATTAAATTTAGTTGAGGGGGGAATCAGTCTTACTGATTGTTTAGTATGCAGGAAACAGGAGTAGCGTGATATTTTCTACCACCAAAGGGTAGAGGATTTGGGCTTTTTCCTTTTTGAATAATATTAAACTTCAAGCCACCACTTTAAGCCGCAAGGAGATTCTCTTGTTTATGACTAAACTTCTCATGCTGCATCCTTCATCCCGGCTCACCCACACTTTGGCTGCAAATCAGCCCTGGCTGTCATTCCCGGGTCAGGGATACTGACGTTCTCACAGGTTCAGCCCCAGGACCGGTGGGAGCTGCGGCATGCAGCCAGCTGTGGGACCAGCCGGTCCTTCCCAGGCAGGTGGTGACAACAAGCACAAGCAGCGCACACTGGACCAGACCCCTGAAGCCATGTGGTGCCTGCACAGGACACACTAAGCCCATCTCTGGCAAGACACTCACTTACCTGATGATAAGAGCTTTCTGCAGCAGTCAGAGTGGGCATTTAGGGCAGCTAAATGTAAGGGAAACATGCTATGGATTCCACACCTGAGGAGGAGAAAACAGCAGCTCAAGGGAACCGGCACAGCCAGGAGACGCCGCCACCCTCTGCGGTGCTGGGGGGAAGCCTGCACCCCACGTGGGAGCCCCGGGGGAAGGAATCTTGTAACTCTTCCATCCCATAAACACAATGCAGATGCTTTTGACCCTCAAATAATACAACCCTAGATCTAAACCATGACTAAAAGCCTACACTCGTAAGAATATGTTTTAAAGAAACTTCGTTTCACATAAACGGCTTCTTAAAATTAATTTCCCGCCTTGCCTTGCGGCATGGTGATTCGCATCTCACTTGTGCGTTCTCCCATGATCTATGGCTCACTTTCCAAGCATCCACTACTGTGCGGAGGGCCAGAGGTGCCTTCTCTGAGCAAGACACACTCAACTGCCAAGTACGCTGCTTTACCCTTCGATGTGATAAACAAGTAGCTATTACTGACCTTACACGTGCCAAGCACTGTCACCATTAGCTATGACAATATTACTGAAAGTAAAAATATAGGTGAGAAAAAAACTAATGTTTAACTTTTGCAAGTGAAATTTCCTCTTTCTAACAGACTTTCAACACTGCACCTTAGCCCGGTTACAAGAGCACAGGACCAGCGAGCAGTGCTTTGCGGATATTCCAGAAATGCATCACATTTCCTAGAAGAGCATCACAGAAAGAATCTGGAAGAGGCCTTGTTAGACTGCTCCTCGCCACAGCACACCCCTGGGACCATCTCTTAGGGCTATCGGGGGATCAGGAGGACTGGCCCCCTCCTCTCCCCCAACTTCTCCCGGAGCAAGGACTCCAACATCTCACTTTAATCAAATAACAGTACGACTGTGTGAGTGTTCTTAAATCTATTCAGTCTTGTGTTTGAGGTTTGTAACTTGTGTGCTATACAAATGTTTAGTTCAATAAAGTTGTGTGATAAAAATAAAAAAAAATCAAATAACATATTTCAGATTTTAAAACCCTCTCTCTCACAAATGTGGGCAGTATCTGTTTACACTCTGAAGCACGCATTAGCCGTGTTTCTTCTACGGCACGAGGTGGCCATTCTCAGGTTTTGTGCTTCATTAAGAAACACATGATTTGAATTTGTTACATGTTGGTTACATGCATTTTATTTCCATCTCCAAAGCCATTGTGTGTCTGTGTGTGTGCATGCACGTGTGTGCGTGCACGTGTGTGTGTGCACGTGTGTGTGTGTGTGTGTGTGAATACTTGGAAATACACATATACATGCCCGAACTTCACGGTATTCAGTGTTCTGCAAACTCCAGGCCCGCCAGCAACTTTTTCCTTGGCAAGCTCTGTTTCCTGTCTCTTGCATTTTCGCTATGAGACTTCTCTCCCCACACGGAGACCTCTGGACCAGCGTATGTAATAACTGGCATCCATCAAGAGGCGCAATTTGCCAGCCTTCCAGAACACCTCTAATTGCCTCTCTCCTCATCTACAACAAAAACGCTGACAGTCATTGCATCAGTGCCGACCTTGAAGCCTGTGGAAAGGACAGGAACGCGGGGGAGGGCAGGCTTCTCCAGGGATGCTGGCACTTATCCACCCCTCTTGGTTCAATAGAGACATACTATTTTAAAAACACATGACGTGTTTTAAAAGTTCTATCTCATTCCATTTGCTAAATGGAACTTTAAGCTAGCATGATTTTATCCAACCATTTTATTTGTTTGGAAAGTTAAGGCAAAAGAATGTATGATTAAATATCTCTGGAATTGTGGAAGAAGAAAATGAATAGAAGAGTTTCTATGATACTTTTAAGTTCCTAAAAATAAATGACAGAAATCGAAGGCTTTACACATTCTTTACATACACACATATTCACATGCATACATACCTATGTGTACATACACACATTCTACATATAGCACATAAAAGATATACCATTATACAAGATAATATGAGCAAACAAATTAGAGAAAATAGCACCAAACTCTATAAGTAGCCAACCTGGAAAAGCAAAGGCATGAACAGTAGCATACCACCACCAAGGCCAAAAGATAGTCCGTGAATTTCATTACCAAAACTTCTAATCAACCCACATTAGCTAATTTTTTTCATTGTTTTTTAATAAAAGAGAAAATAGGAGAGCTAAAACTACTCTAACTTAAAGTGACTGGCAAAAATTCCATGTGAATTTTCTATTCCACTCAATAAAAAGTTGCCATGTCAGTGCAGGTTTTAGAAATACACTAATGTAGACTCAAGTATTATTGTATTTGAACTAGACTAGGGTGCCATGGTTCAAGCTGTAAAACTAAACACTATGATAGGAAAGAAAAAGCAGAATTTAGATTCTCTGATCATTTTAGAAATGTTTCACACACTTCACAGTAAGCTGCTCCTTTATTGGAAAGGCTAGAAAACCTTTAGTAGGCAAACCAAGACCTGGTTGTCTTGTCACGTAAAAAGCCTTACTCCTATTATTCCTCTACGCATCAAGGAACAGCAAGAAAAAAGATACCAGCTAGCCCTAAAGTGAACCACACATCAATTACAGGGAGGAGGAGACCCATTCCAGTTACATTGGTGTATTTATTTGACAAGTCCTAAAATTAACAGAAGTTGTTTGTACTTGGCCATTGCTAATTTAGCTGCTGCTTCAGGATAAATGAGGTCTGACAGGCTCCTTGTCCAGACAACCAGAGGTGAAGGAAGGGCTAAGTGCTCCTCTTGGCACCAGAAATGTCAGTCCCTTCTTACACCCAGGCTTTTCTAGAGCCTCCCTTTAGACCACATGGCAAAGAACGCTGCAATTACAGCAGTGAGGTCAGAAACCAGGTTTGAGCTCTAGCTTTTGTTATTTGCTGTTTGATCTTTACAAGTGAATAATGGTTCTCTCCTCGGGAAAATAAAGATAATTACAGTGTCTATGTCACAGAGATCCTAAAGCCTCGCTGGTCTAACCAGTACAAAGTGCTAGCTACAGCACCTGACCCATAGAAAACCTTCACCAACGATGTTCTCAGATCGTTATTATTAGCTTGACCGCGAATCAGCCCCTGTGCATCCTGAAACTGCCATCAGCTTGTTCTTCCTCATCAGGTGTGTGACTCCTCAGATGCTGAACTAGACTGCGATTCACTCACCTGTCTGCTATTTTTCTCTCCTTCTAAGTTCATTCCAGTCCTGCTCCTGGATTCTCCCAGAGCAGTGGGATTGTCCTGGTTCTGTCCATGAGGCGGGCAGGACAAAAGCATACCCTAAGCACAGACTAGGGCAACATTACGATTCTCAAGCGACTTGTTAGTCCGCGTCAAAACACCGAGCGTCTCCTGAGCTTCA